ATTCCCTACAAAAAAAAAAGAAAAAACTTAAACATTTGTCATTTAAGAAAAGTGAAATGTCCACTTGAGCATTCATAACTACTACATAAATTGTTTTAGAACGTACAATAATAAATATATTTTAGTATAATTAATTTAATATATTACCACGACAATAATTTTTCAAATGATAAATCCTACGTTACCCAAAAAAATTGAGAAAAACAAGCAAAAAATGTTTCAAACATTTAAATAGAGAACATTACAATCTCTAAATAAGAACGTAAGCATTGAGATTCAAATCAGTCAATTTTCTAGGTCTTCTATGAACTAAAAGATTAATAATTCATAATTTCACATAAGCGATAACTAATTCTACCAACAAATCTAAACCCTAAATCGTCGCATTTGCAACAATGTTTAAAATACCCGTTCAAAAAAATTATTAAGGATCAAAATCAATTTGATCGCTTTAAAAAGAAGTTTGATACTCATTCACGCGTCCGCGTGCCATAAAAAATAAAATTAATTTACACCAATAAAAGTAAATTTACGTAATACAATAAACAATAATAATTTAAAAGTAACCAAGAAAACTCAAATTAAGCTTCGTATATAGTAAAATTTAATTGAATTAAAATTCAGAAAATCAAAATTAAAATTCAGAAAATCAAAATTAAAATTCGTAAAATTATGTTTATCGAATATATTATTAAAATATAAAATCTTCTCTCTTAGTGCGGCACGAAGATATTCCTCTTCGACTTACGCAGTGATTTCAACGTCTTTCGAATTCATTCTTCTCAAAGGCTATACATTTGTGTATATACGGTATCCCAAACCAACTTTTTCACCTATTAATAGCAAACTTATGAGATCATTTGAGAACGAGAAAATCTGTACGATTATATCGAGGCTACAATTTTTAAATAGTATTCAGTGTTTAAAGCTGTTCAGGCACGGCGCAAACTTCTAACGATTTAATCAATCAATTTTAAACATCTTGCATTAAAAAAAAAAAAACTGTAACCTAGACATTTTTATATAAAGATTTTCTCCTCCAAATGATCTCAAGAATCTGCTATCGAGTGATCGGGCGTCTCGGATGCTGTACATATGCGCGCTGGAAATAACAATCGCGGCTATTTCGCGATGGAGCCTCCGTGGATGTTGAGGATGTGTTGCTTGAGGTGATCCGGCCGGCAGAAGTACTTGCCGCAGAGGGTGCAGGTAAAGGTGTATCGTGATCCGAGGCGGCCGCACTCGTACCTGGAGTGCCGAGTGAGAGACGACCGCGACCTGTATCCGCGTCCGCACATTACGCATCGAAATCGCAGCTCGCCGCTGCCACCGCCGGTCGAGACGTACTCCGTCGAGGGGCTGGCTGTAAGCATACAGGGAGGCCTTTTTACATCACGCGGGTTCCTGCCGCACGCACGAAACGAGCCCCCTTCCGCGATTTCTTACTCTCTTTTTCTCTTTCTCTCTCTCTCTCTCTCTCTCTCTCTCTCTCTCTCTCTCTCTCTTTCCTTTATCGACAAACCACAAAAACACACTTCGATCGATTGCGACTTGTTTTCTCACCCTTTCTCTCTCTTCCTTTGATTGGTCCACCGATGGAGAAGAAAAAGCTCGAACCAAGCGTGTAAACAATATACGGAATCAAGCTCGCTCCAAAAGAAGACTGTGCAGAAAGCTCCGTTGCCGAGAGATCGCGATAGACAGATTTCCGTCGCGTTTAATTATTTCGCAAAGTTTGTCGAATTGTTCAAATATTTAATGCCGACATATAAGACTGACATGACTAAAATCTGTTATAATGGTAATATAAATTGTATAATTTAAAAAAATCTGAAAAAATTTCAGAAATTCTTAATTTATTGATGTATTATTTCAATTGTTAAATAAAAAATTAAAATAATCTCAAAAAAATCACAAAAATAATATACTATATATTAAAAACTATAGCATGAAAGAGAAATAATTACAAAAAAACATACGAGAAAACTTAAGTAAATTATAGAGTATCAGAGAATAGCAAAACTATAATTTTTTTCGTGACAAAAATTTGAACACATTTATACGGTACTTTTATGACAGATCCTTGTGCACAGTTTTCGTTGTTTTGGGCTATTGTTATTTACATGCTGCATCAAAATGAGCTGGCTTTTTATTAGTGCATCCACTTTTTACACCCGTGATGTAATTAATTCAACCCAACGTAAAATATGCCTCCTTGTATAGTTTCACCCAACACACATCCACGACGAATGAACACAATACTGGCCGAAGTTATCGCGCCAATGATGCGGACAAGGATGAATTTCCCTTCGACGAGAGACGCTCGAGATGTATCTCTTGTTTTTTTTTTTTTTTTATTTTGCCGCTTTACGACACTTATTCGCTATGCTGACAATCACGAAGCGTTCGGCTGGATGACAAGACTTCAACATGCAATACACATCAACCAACAATCACTGGCATCGTCGTTTATTCCTTCGTTAATTAGATATTGCTAAAACGAGTTATATATACAAAATGTGCGAGTAGCATGTACCAGATGCTACGTCGCGGTTAAAAAGGATTTTATATAGTTTTATTAATGAGGAAATCAATTATATGACATTAATTTATGAATTGTGCATATTATCGGAGTAATCAAGTGTAAAATATGTCGCACGTTAAAACTTTATTAATAACTCTGGTTTATTTTTCATTTAATATACGTGGTAAAATTTTTATTTCACATATTTAAGGAGAATGAAAGAAATAAAAGTAGAAATCAATATATAGCATATAAGTTTATAATTAATAAAAATTGTATATATTATTAACATATTCTAACATTAGGTGATACTTTTCTCTTAACGTGGAAACCACTGGAGTATATTATGTACTTATTAAATTTATTATTCATCAAAAATAAATCGGTAAAGCAAAATTTGAGTATAGCTCATTTATTCTATTCACAAAATTAGCAAAGCGATATATTCAATATGAGTAAAAGTAAACATTACATATATTAATAATATTTAAGATTTTCTCGCACTTAATCATAACAAAAATTATAATAAAAAAAGGAAGCATGAAGTGGTGAAGAGTCACCAGTCCGAAAGAGAAGATAAATAGTATCTACATCAAAAAGTGTCGAAAAATTTCAAATATTAATAAACAATGAATTTTATAAACCGGAAAACGATAGAAAAGGGTTCCATCTCCGCGTGTCAAAGCTGAAATTAAAAGTTAGAAATTTCGAAACAAATGAATTTTTACTACTGATTCTCATTCTCGTTTGTTGCCACAAGTGTCTACGATTTCCAAAATTTGTACAGCACTCGTACGTCCTTCACAGTGACGGGTTGCTGTTGCTGCTGCTGTGGCTGCTGCTGCTGCTGCTGCTGCTGTTGTTGCCCGTACGATCGGGCTCGCTGCTGCTCCTGTAGTTGCTGCAGCTGCTGCTTCTGTCGCTGAAGAAAGTCAACCTCCAGTTTCTCTCTTTCTGAGAGACACTCGGCGATATGACCCCGCAGGCCGCTTCGATACTTGTAGCTGCGACCACAACTCGGACAGGAGAGTCTGCAGCGATCTGCCACGGGTTGCCGATGCACCCCAGTCGACTGTGACCAATAGAGCGTGGCAGCTGCAAGCATCATCGGCCAACTATCACGCCGGAGATTGTTTGTGCACCGCAGACGATGGTAACGTGCATTCAAGTTTTTAGGATTCTTTTCTCAAGAGCTTCGTTTTTATTTCTTACGCATGTGACATTCTCTTTAAAAAAAAAAAAGTTTCCTCTCTCTCCCGATTTTCAAACAATTTCCTCCGCAATATACGATTATTCCGAGGTCCAAAATGGGTAAAGTGCACGACAAAATAAATTTTTCTCATAAAGCTAGAAAATAAAAAAAATTGTTTATTTTACACGTAAATAAAATGTGTCCAGTTAGTTCCTCAAAGACGGATCGACGTGAGAATCAAGAATTATTAAACCTTGAAGCTATTTTCCAAAAAGATTCATCATTCGTTAAAAGGTTAATATATCGGAGTTGTTAAATATATTCAAATATATCGAGATCGATGCGCCTTGTTATATTTTATGAAATTTCATGATATGCTAGTTTAAAATGTATCAAGTTAGTACACGTAGTTAATTCACACGCGCTACGTGATAAAATGCCTGAAAAAGCTGAGTGTAGGGGTCGCACAATAAAGAAAGAGAAATATACTGCTCAAAAACTCTTTATTGGTTCTTCTCTGCTCAGGTCCATCGACTGGTCGAATTCGCAATGTCGAATGTCGGAGGATGCTCTGGATGCGGATCGACACGAACGAGTGACTCTAGAGACGTGAAAGGATGCCTCCCTCCTCATGCGCACGCGTCAACCCATTTCTGATTAATTCCTCATCAAATTTATTAATCATATCACTAATAATAATAAATAAATGTACGAATCATACAGAATAAGAAGTTCATTAATGAATAATGGATTGATGCGTGAACATTCGAAGCGACTAATATCGAACGAAGAAAATACGACGGTCTCTCTCGCCGATCTTATATCCATCTATGTAAATCTGCGCTCGTGTGTGATAAACATATAAACTCTATATAAAAATTCAGGATCGACGACTTCCTTCTCCCGTGTTCTACTTGCTGATGACAACAAAGTTAACTCCTTGTACATTCACATCCGCAGAGCGATTTCGCAATTTTTACCATGTTTTAAATTCACAAAAAAAAAGTAATTCAATGATTATCACTAAAAGCATAATAAAAAAAATTATAACTAACTCATTGGTTCAAGATGCTCGATAATCGAACAGTTACCTCAGAGATGATTTCGCACGGTCAACGAGTGGATCGTTTAACAATTGTTTAAAAAGTTTTTTTGAAGAATGTTGCAAAAAGATAAAATAAATCTGACAAAAATCTCAAATGTTCCGAGTGCACTCGTAGATCGTGGAATCGATACTTCCAAAGAAATGAGAAAAATAAAGAACATCATTTGACATACGCCTGGTTAATTTTTCGCAGCAATCGGCCATTTATTGTAACAATGATTGGCGATCATCGCCGTGTCGTTTCTAAAGAATCGATTTACAAAAGTAATTAATAACTCCGATTGTATTTCCAAGAGATTATCTTACTGAAACATTAAACAATTTTGAATTTGGATAAATTAACATTTATACGAACTATCCGTTATTTTCGGTATAACATTATCAAACAAAAATTTCTATTTAAGATCTTGAAACTGCAAATTTTCTGTCATCTCATTTTTTACATAAAAAAAAATGTAATTGTATCAAGCGATTATTCAAAGTAATATAAAATAAACTTTAACAAAATGAATTTGAATCAAAACAAAGATATCGTTATATTAAATATTTGAAAAGTAGTATCGAATGTAGCAAGAATCGTGCGTGTCACGAGCCAAGACAATAATTGAAATCGAATATAATTTCTCAAGTTAATAAACATACTGTGACTCGACTAGATAACTGCTTTAAAATATGACGCTAAATTTCTGTCGTAACCGAAAAATCGAGTTGAACTCCAAAAATTAAAAAGAAATTTTTTTTACTAATTCATTTAAACAAAACAAAAAATAAAATAAAATATAAAACCCCCTCGTAAATTTTAAAATTTTCCACTTGGAGATCAACACGAAATTCAGATACTCCAACATCAATTTCTATCGAGCGATCAAGCGTCCCATCTGCATCCATGGAAAGCAGACAGCGACAGTCGACTTCTCGACAGAAAGCACAAATTACAAATTTGTAGATACGTACTTGAGTTACAGTTACCTAGTGCGAAAGCGACAAGAGACATGTGTGGGGGAAAAGAATTAGAAACTAAATTACTTGGCATCGCGACGTGCTTCTCTCATCTTCATAGTCGAAAAGCTCGAAGACGCCGATGGAAAGTGGAAATCACACAACGGGAGTGAAAGGGCGACTATGAATCTGACATGCTGCTCTGCTGTTGCTGATGTTAACGCCGTTAGTCGTTGCTGCTGTCGCTGCTAGCCCTCGCTTTCATATTTCCTCGAGTACGCCTTTGCCGTCTCGGTAATGCCAGCCCGACCGCGTCATTTCGATCCTCTCCCTAATGTAAGGCGTTATATGATGGCCCGTCCTCTTCTGGTGCTGCCGCATAATATCCAGCCTGGTGAAACGCCGCAGACAGCTCCCGCAGGCAAACTGCTTCTCCACCCCGCATTCGTAGCGCTGATGCCTATCCAGACAGTATTGGACCGAATAACGCCGATCGCATCGCGAACAACGATATTCGAGAATCGACTCTGAAACACCGTGTTGACCTTTGTCGCTATCACGCGAGCGTTATTGCTGGAAAGCGCGCTGAAAATGAATCGGTTGTGCTGTCCCGTAAAGTCTCGTGAAGTCTCGTGAAGTCTCGTGAAGTCTCGTAAAGTCTCGTGAAGTCTCGTGAAGTCTCGTGAAGTAGAGGAAATCAAAATCGAAAGATGCGTCGAGAAGCGATACAATAAAATCCAAATTAAGTTCTTCACACATTGTTGCTGACATGAACGTGAATATTTTTACGAAACTCATCAGAAACCTGTCAGATTTTTGGTAATAATTTTTTTATCAGCATAATTTATAAATCCACTGCGGAGATCAACTAGTCGCCGTCGTCATCCGTGCAATGCCATTGCAGTGCTGCTAATTATCGCTGCGCAGCAATAATTAACAGAGCTACGATGATTGCAACGAGATGATTCAGTAGCCATAAATTTATATACATCGTGATGCATATAAATTTTGCTGATGTCAGTAATGTCGAGATTACGAAAATATTTACGAGTAAGTGTCTTATGTTGTAAATGTGATGTGAATGCTCTCATCAATAACAAGGAGCTAATAAATTTTCCGAACTCGACAATTTCGATTAAAAAGAAACTTCGGATTTTGCGAGGATCTAAGCTTGCAGAGCGACATTTTTCTTCAACCATTACGATTCCTGTTCTATCCAGTAACAGATCAATGCTATTTTCTGTGAACATGCCAATCTGCGAAATTTAAAATGGACTTAAAATCTCTGCGAGACCCGCAACAAGTTTAAGTCTATTCAACAGTCGCAGCTCGCACAAGAAAATCATTCGAATTTTCAATAAAAACGAATCTCAATTTCATTCTTTTCGAGAATTCAAATTATTCTCCTCGTTCACAGAAATCACATTTATTTTACCGCGTTATTTTTCAATGCCCATTTCGTTTAACTCGCGGCTTCGATCGAGATTTTTATAAAAGCTGCTACGCGCGATCGTGTAATCGGAATTATCCGACCGCAGTTACCTTGACGCAATATCATTCGGTATCCGCGAAGAGCGGTGCAATTGATATACGAATCTTGCGTCGCTGCTCGCAAAATAACCGAATGCTTCGAGAACGAAGTCAATGAATACCGCACGCGGATACTTGAAACGACACCAGCAGCTTGAATAAAAATCTGAAAATCAAATCCGTCATCGCGAAAACAATTGTTCCGATGCACGCCGTTCAATGAATTATTCACAGACTTGGAAACGTGGCGATGAGGCTCCCTATAACGCACTGTACAAATTTCATCGAGAATTCCTCCCTCTCAGATCGCGCGAGCGGTGCAAGGACAATCGATAGATCGCTCGCAATCTGGCGCCTTAGAATCCGATCGATCTAAAAGAGTGGCGCTTACAACGATCTCGCGATCCCATTAATTTTGCATACGCGAGAGGGCTTCGAAGATTTGTTTTTTTTTTTTTTTTACGATTTCATTTCCCTTTCGATCGAGCCAGCCAGACTCGGATATATCATTCGCACCAAGCACTTACACACACAGATCCGTACTCCCCGAAGATGAATTACACAGAAATCCAGTCTTTAACGCAGCATGTACGTCGAAGAACTGAAAAATCTACGAAGATGGAAAGGGACGAAGAGAGGAAGAGGAACAACGTTAACGACGTGATTAATTTGTTCTTCGTTCGGCGATCATTGCGCGACTTTCCCGCGAAAGTGGTGCAATTATCGCAAAACGGAGTTGACGTAAACCAAATTTACGCGTTAAAAAAAATTAATCTTCCAATGAAATCAACGAGTCAACGAGACTTGTGAAACGATTTCTTCAAAATTTAGCTACTGGCAAGTGTCGTTGCGATGTTCGCCTGCTTGTCAGTGCGTAGATAATGAAAAACTGTTTCACCCATCGTATTCTGAATGTAAGTTAATTCGAGAATCAACTGTGACTTCAGAATACGATACAAATATCAATCAAGAATCGGAAATACGTGCCAAGAGAATTATTTTATGTCTAGCGTATGTAATTAAACAAATGCCGGCAGAAATAATAGATTTTTAATTTGCTTCAAAAATCGAAAGAAAATTCGATTTCAATATTCACAGTACGACGGTGTAATATTGTGGAACCAAGTTTTTCGATTATCAAATCGAAAGACTCAGCCACTTTAATCTAAAAAAACGACAATTATTCCGAGTCAATCATTTCTGCCAGAAATATTTCATTTTCATAAGAATACTGTTAGGGCATCCTGCGTGCCGATACAACACGCAAGACTAAATACTTACGCATCATACCGTTTTACCTTTTAATCACGTGGACACCGATGCAATCTGCTGCAAAAGTAGCATCACGTTCTTGACTTGGCAGAGCTTGCTTCCAAAAAAACAAAATGCATTCTTGAAAGCAGCTATATGCCGAAACAATCTTCTTAGCAATCACAGCTGACGAGAAATTTAAATGCCCGATTAAAAGTTTGTATTTTACACTTCGATAATAAGGAAATCATACTTTAATTGTAGATTTCTATAAAATCAAAACAAAATACCGCGATAAATGCAAAAGGCATAAGAAGACACCTCTGAAAATAAAATTAATAACGTAAAGTACATATTTCATTACAACTACTACATTTTTAAAATGTAGAATAAATCATAATCAAAAAATGTTTAATTAGATATATATATATATATATCATTATCTCGTTCACTCAAACATCCACGCAAAAAATTCATTCACGCTGAAATTTCTTTCGCGCACAAAAACAGATTTTCATGTAAATATTACAAAGAATGATTTCTGCGAGTACTCAGTTTGAGAAGATCATAGAAAAAGATACCTATAAAATCTGGTCAAACTTTTAAATCGCAAAAAATCGATGTAAAAATACATTATTACATACAAAGTACGATCAGAATAAACCTGTAGAAGAAAATCTAGTGAAATAACATGATGAGAAAATGTCCTATAAATAAAAACCTAAATTTAAAAAAGAGCACAAAAATATTATAAATCAATATGTAAAAATTAAATTACACATCGCAATTATGACAATTTATAAATACGAGTCTTATAAACTACGTGGAATCAATTATACATAGTAATACGCGGATCTTACGCTATTTACCGAGAAGAGTTACCAATACTATACCATCCCATACATTACCAATTTCCAGCCTATACATTACCATTTCGACGAGTCCAGTCTCTTGACTTCTTCGAAAGCTCTCGCTCGAAGGCTCAAAAAGCGAGACCTTCGAACTCGAAAATCCATCTTCGTCCCAAGATCAAAATGAGAGAATACACATCGCGAACGTAAGCTCGGTTGAGCCAAACGAAACAAATTAAAGCAAAATGAGAGAAAATAATGTACAGTCCATAAATCTTCTCGAGATCCCAAAGATTCCAAATTAGGAATATTCGGAAACTCGATTCAATTTTTTAATTTCAGCCATTTCTGAATCTCAAAACGAGATTCAGAAAACAGACGTTACCATTCCCTGATCCTTCCTTCGATTGTCCAGGCATCTGCTTCTCTCTTCGGTTTTCTCTTCTTTCTTCTCTTTTCATACGTTGTCAACGGAGAATTCGGAATTGTGACAATGCGTAAATCGCCAAATCAAGCTGACTAGGCAGACTCCTGACGAATAAAAAGAAGTTATTCCTCGCAGACGCCTTTGGCTTGAATATCGCGAATATTAACGCAGAATCACGATCTCTATAATTTTCCGTCAACAAAAATGGAAAACCGGAATACTCCCGAAAGCGCAGTTTCTCAACATTTCAGAAAACCAATATTTTTCGAATATCTAAGAAAATCGAGAAAACATTTTCAAACAAATATTGAGAAAAATTCTGAAGCTTTCTGACATCTCCGAAACGCGGCTATCAACGTTTGCGGAAAAAGTTTGACGCGACATCTTCGTATCGTATCTTTAGACTCTTTTCGTAGACGCGAGAAATAAAAGAAAAAATTTTCCTCTTATTACTAGCGCGAAGAATAATCCAAAATCGATACAAGAAACACGTATCAAAAAGCATTTGTAAATTCATAGTCATAAATATACACACACGCACACATTCTCTTTCATATTATTCATTCGCACTCATTCATAAAAGAAAAAGCGATTGCCTTGTAAATGAAAACGTCGTACTCGCTTGCGAGAAATGATTCTAATCGCCTTACCAATAATTAGATCCGCTAACTCGCACGCGTGCGATCATTTTCATTTAAAATACAAGTCGTAATCAATAAGTTACATATACCAGTCATTATGGAAAATATAACGTGAGTTGAGTATGCAACGACGTTCAAGCACACGTCCGCGTGAACGGCGAGTGCGGAACGACGATGAGATTGCGTTACGATATAACCGGATTATCATGTTTATCACATGACAATACACTTCTGCCGCGCATTACCTTGACCCGATGATAATATCCGTTTTACCTTGCATTAAATGTTCTTACCGATACATTACCAATGCCGCTGCGATCTTCGTTCTTCTCTCTTGCATATAAAAAAAGGATAGCGCACGCATGAGCTTTGTTCTTTGGTCTTGAACAAAAATCAGCCGTGCGCCGCAAAATCGCGAAGGCGCAAAAGACGCTGTCGGAAGAAAAACGAATAGAAAATGCCAAAGATGCGTAACGTGAGTGTCCGAGTGATTCTCGGAACATCACTTCCGCATTTCTGACATTCGCCTGTCTATTTGAATCCTACGAGATCCACGAATTCTGCTCGTAAAATCATCCCTTCGAAATTTCAGCTCGAGCGCGTGTTCTCTCACTCGAAACGAGGAAGTCGTGAGATTTTCAAACAAAATCGGCAAGATCCGAAGGATTAAATATAACGTAAAAACGCGTCGCGATTACTCAACGCTTTCGCGGCAAAATAGTCGGCGAAAGCGCGATTCCAATTTCCCGTGAACTCTGCAAACGCGCAAAGGGCACGCTTGCAGATCTCTTCTCTCTTCTAACGTCGTGGGACGCCTCGTTCAAGAA